GTTGGTGCCAAGAATGTTGAATGTGAATTTGAGCAAGATGAAATTGTTCATAACCTCAGTCTTTTCTCCATCTGTCAGGATGCAGCCTATTCCATGGTATATATGTACCTTATTTTGTTAATTCATCTTTCTATTGATAGACATTTAGAATGTTTATATGTTTTGGCTATTCTGAATATTGCTGCAATAAACTCTAATGCACATATTTCTGTATTCCTGCTTTCAATTATTTTTGCTGTATATCTGGTATTGGAATTGCATGACAGTTGTTTTTATAGATCTTGTTGTTGTTGTTGTTGTTGTTGTTATGTACTGTCGAGTCACTTGCGACTCATAGCGACCCTGTGTACAACAGGCCTAAACTCTGCTCTGTCCTGTGCCAATCGCACTGTCTCTGACACACTCATCCCGATTACTCCAGTCACTCAATCAATCCACCTCATAGAGGGCCTTCCCCTTCTGCACTATCCCTCCACCCTCCTAAGCATGTAGGTTTGTCCTGGAGAAGGTGAAGCCAGAATGTTCCTTCAAGTCAAGGATTCTGGAGAATCCTTCCAAATGCTTGACTTCAAGTCAAGGATTCTGAGATTCTTCAGAATCTTCTGTTCAGCTCTTTAGTATCTTCAATTCTTCCTTGTGCTTTGGCTTCTCTGTGCTCCAGTGGTTAAAGTAGACATTGGTAATTGTTGTCATGATGGTTCCAACTCATGGCACCCCTAGGTGTGCAGAGTATAACTGCTGCAGAGGAGCACATTGACAAGTCTTCCAATGTGCTTCTATGGTGTTTCAAGCCATCAACATTTTGTCTAGTAGCCAAGCACTTAACCATTTATGCCACATAGAAAGTGAGTGCAAATGTATCTTGCTTTAAAATAATATATATGGGCGAGCTCTGGTGGCCTTGTGGCAGGAAGCTGTACTGCAATACCAGAGGTGCATGGTTCAAATCCACCAGATGCTCTGCTGGAGAATGAGGGACAATCTCCTCCTGTACTAGTCAGGTCTGATTTGATGGTACACATACCAAAAGTAATTTTTAAAAAAAATTAAAACAATATATATGAGTCCTGTTTTAAATTGATCATGAGGTATAACTGTTAAATATCCAACAGAAGAAATATTGCCTTTTTGTGGATCCCAATCATATACTCACTGGACAGTAAGTACATGGGGTTGTAAAAGCTTGCAAGT